TAAACCCTAAACCCTAAACGGGCAGGATCTTGAGTCTAGCATCTACACTCTTCTCACAAACTACCGCGCAAAACTTAGCGCTAAGAGGCGCGGTACGCCCCATTTTCATGCTTTTGGGCTTGGGGGGTTACGGTTCAAGTTCCTCTACTTAGGGGATCAGGAGATTTCAATCTAGATACAAACAAAAAAGTTACTGACATAACTTCTGCACTCGTAACCCTACTTGCTACGTTTCGTGATCCTTTGAGCATGGCCCACACGAAGACCTCTAAACCCTAAACCCTAAGACCCCAAACGGTGACTGGCAGACGACGTCACAGCGGGTTTTACTTGGTTCAGGGGTCGTTATAAGTGGGGTCGCAAGTCCCCTATTGTGGCTTATAGTTACCCTACTTATAACCCCATGCATAACTATCCATGAACCCTAAACCCTAAACCCTAAAACCCTAAACCCTGAACCTTAAACCCAAACCCCTATAGTACCCCCCATTTATAACCATCCATGAACTAACAAGTAGGGCCGGTCTTGCGGCTTGGAGTTTGGAGTTTTCCGGGTTGCGGGCATGGCTCAGTCGAGGGCTCATGGTCCAAGTTTAGGGTTTAGGGCTTTAGGGGTTTAGGGCTTTAGGGCTTTAGGGCTTTAGGGGCTTAGGGTGTAGGGCTTTAGGGGTTCAGGGTTTAGGGCTTTAGGGTTTAGGGTGTGGGGCTTTAGGGGTTCAGGGTTGAGGGCTTTAGGGTTTAGCTTTCAGGGTTCCATACCATGCCTATCAAAGCCTGCACCCCAAAGCCACCACAGTTCCTGAACCTTCGGCGGCAGACTCCGACCAAAACACATTTCGTGTACAACGGGTGCAAAGAAAACCACATTGACCGGGGTTTGTGTGACTCCCTTCTCTGGCCCAGACGTCCTCAACTCTACATCCCAAGCCCTAAACCCTAAACCCTAAACCCTAAACCCTAAACCGAAACAACCCAAAGAAGCTCGCAGCCCTATATCTGCCAGACGACCCCACACTGGTAGTACTCGCCCGTAGGCGTCTGCGTGTAGGTCGCGTCACACTTGTCCAGCGGCTGGTTGTCACACGCCCTCAATCGCTGCAGGCTGTTCTGGTTGTTGGGGGTTTAGGGTCGGTTTGGTTTTGAGTGGCGGGGAATTGGGCGTTTCAGCTGCAAGACTTTGTGAGAGTTTGCTTTTCAGAAGCTACTTGCAGGCAGACGTGTAAGCGTAAAGCCCCGTTTTGAGGCATGAAGACCCGAACACAGAAGCCTGAATGATTGCCAAAACTATCCTATCACTGTGGATACGATTATACAGAGTAATCTACAAAACACGCAACTCTAATTCTTAAGGCCCCTAAGTTCGCCCAGAGAGCGTCACAAGGCTTCAGAGGACTTATGGCTCTTGGGGCGACTTGTTGTTCCCCTAAGCCCAATCCAAAACCGAAGACCTGAACCCTGGAGTAGTGTATTTTGTCCCTTTATAGGGACCATAAGAGGAGGGTTTAGGGTTTAAGGTTTTACTACTGCCAGAGCAAATTAGAGGATATTGTATAAGGTTTAGGGTTCAGGGTTTACCCAGCAAAACAATTCAGACCCCTGTAAAAACCTTTCCTTTTCAACCCTAAACCCTAAACCCTAAACCCTAAACCCTAAACCCTAAGATTCAAGATTCACATCACTCAGAAGGCTTTAGTCATACGGGACCTGAGGCGGTTCAGGCTCAGCTCTTGACGTGAAGGGCCCCGTAAGGTTTGACGATGGCTCCAAGAAGCTTCGCTTAAGCCACCATAAGAGACCCTAAACCCTCAACCCCTAAACCCCTAAACCCCTAAACCCCTAAACCCCTAAACCCCAAACCCCTAAACCCCTAAACCCCTAAACCCTAAACCCTAAACCCTAAACCGTATGTGAAATGGCCAAAAAACAGAGCGCGAAGACCGTCCTAAAGACCTGCAAGAGCTCCGTAGTAGGTTCCCTCATTCCCTCAGAGCTCCCGCCGTCCCGGAATGAGACCTTACTTGGAGGTTCATGGGTGGTTATAAGGGTTTAGGGTTTAGGGTTTAGGGCTGGGGTTATAAGCATATCTGCCCATGAACCTCCAAGTAACCCTGCCGATCATGACGACGGCCACAACTAGAACGGCAATGCAAGCATCCACGATAGCAAGATTCACGAAAAAGATGACACAGTAACAAGAGTAGCGATAGCTATCCCAATCAACAATCAACACGATGATCATAAACATGCCACACAAGACGACGAGCAAAAACTAAGAACAGAAATGACAAGTATGCTGGAATACCGACAACAAAACCAACAATAATCCCAGAGTTCGTTGAAACCACTTGAGACCCAACCCCTGGTGACGAGACGCCAGTACTTGGTGCTCCCGCCCTTGGCCAAGCTGCCCTCAAGGATGTCGGTGGAGAGTTCAGGGCTTAGGATCTTAGCATTTAGGGTTTAGAGCTTAGGATCTCAGCATTTAGGGTTTAGGGCTTAGGATCTTAGCATTTACGGCTTAGGGCTTAGGATCTTAGCATTTAGGGTTGAGGGTTTGGGATCGCAGCATTTAAATTTAGGGCTTAGGGCTTAGGGCTTAGGATGTTCGCATTTAGGCACAGGGGTTTAGGATCTTAGTAATTTAGGGCTTAGGGTTTAGGATCTTAGCATCTAGGAACCGTTCCTTAATCAACGGTTCAAAGCTTTGGGTTTGGGGTGCATGGTAACGTCTTCTGGAGCTTGGACTGTGCATATTCCAACGCTTCTGGCTCGTGGCGATTTCTGGAATTTCCTGGTACCAGTACATGAAGTTTCGAACAGTTGCAGGATGCATTTGGGGAAATATCCCAAGGCCCCAACACTCTACACCCTAACAGTCCCCAAGAATCCAAAGCCCTGGACCCGAGACCGTAAATCCTGCAACTACAACAGCCGGTTAAGGGTTTAGGGTTTAGGGTTCAGGGTTCAGAGTTTTGGATATAGGGTTTAAGGTTTAGGGTTTAGGGTTCAGGGTGCAGGGTTTTGGGTTTAGGGTTTAGGGTTCAGGGTTTAGGGTTGGAGGGTTTAGGGTTTAGGGTTTAGGGTTTAGGGCGCAAACAACCCGAAACCTGCAAAAGCACGGCGCCTCACACTCCAAAAGCACCGGCTCCACGTGACCAAGGCTTTTCAAGCCAAGACCAGCATTGAAGACCTGGGAGCTCCAATCTTGATCCAGGGTTTGAGGTCAGGGTTCGAGGTTTAGCGTTTGGGGCTTTAGGGTTTAGGGGTT